TCTCTTTCTCCACCTTCCCAATAAACTCCTTATCCAATTCCTCCACAGAATCATCATCTCCTCGTATATAATTCAAATAACTCTCCAACGCATACAAATACATACTGTTGTTCTCTGCAAATGAACCCGAATTATTTGATAAGTGATTGTTGTACGACGCGATTTGCACCAGCCAGTGCATCAAAGCCAGATACGAAGGCCAATTGTGAGGCGAATTCGGTGACCTAAGCGTAGATTTATTAATCTTGAAAGGACAATTTAGGGATTTCAAGATTACAAACAGATCGTCTTCAAACTTAGCTGTGGAAGGGTAATCGAGCTTCGAAATGAGAAATTTGATAATGTCCACTATGTCCTTGACGGAGGGGACTTGTTTGGGCGGTAGAAGGATCTGGAACGAGTGCGAGGAAAGGAAGGCGTTGATGGCGCGAATTGCCGAGCTTTGGTGGGACCGGTCGGAGTAGAGGTCGGCAACGATGGAGGCGCGGCCGATGCCAGCGGATGAGGGGCGGCTGCTGGCGAAACTGGCATCGGAATCGCGTGGACCACCAAATCGGGATCCATAGAGGTCGGGCGTTGGTTGTGGAGGTGGTGGCTGGTTGAAGGATTCCGTCGGACGACGTCGGTTTGTGCCTCTCATTTTTTGGTGCTCGAGGACTAAGTTGAACTGTATGAGAAGTAGAGAGAGTGACTATAGTGAAGCAGGGTTTTGATTTTTGATTTTCGATTTTCGATTTTGGAATGTGTTTGGTTTCCCGCTTTGGGAGGGCTTTTGGGATTTTACAATGAGAACAAAAATCAATTAGCCCCCTATACTTTTTGGAAATGATTTGCGTAAATTACGAAATTTCTAATTAATTTACCCTCAAAACTTTCAAAAGATAATCAACGACCCCTTAACACCCTAATGTTGTTCAAGATCTGTTAAATGAGCAAGGGTAATATAGTCTTTTTATTTCCTCCTTTTTCCCTCTTTCTTATTTTCTCCCCCTCATTCTTTGGCTCATTTTTTTTTCTTTCTCCAAATTATTTCCTCTTTTTCATCCCCTATCTCTCCCACCATGGAACCATCATCAACGAATTAAATGATATGAAGATTTGGTTAATTTTTTTTTGCTTTTTTTTTTTCACGATGATCAAGCTTGATTGATGTTGTTGTGTCTCGATTCAGGTTGGTTGCTCCGAATGTGGTTGTTTGGTGGTTGAATTTATGGGTTTTGTGGTAGAAAAGGTGATTAATAGCATAGCAATAATGACAGTTGCTTGTGCACTCTGTTGTTGGATACGCATAGCAGCTTCTTTATAAAGCTATTTGCAGTGGTTGATTTAAGAAAAAGAAAACGTTGGGAGGAGGAGTTGTGCACTTTGCTATTGGATACGCATAGTAGCTTCCCTATGGAGCTATTTGCAGTGGTGGATCTAAGAAAAAGAAAATGTTGGGAGGAGGAAGTGAGAAATAAGAAGATGGTGGAGGAGAAAGAAGAAAAAAAAGAAAGAAGTGGAGAAAGGAAATGAGGTCGGAATTGAAAGACTATCTTACCCTTGTTCATTTAACGATTGTTGGATGGCGTTAGTGTTTTAAAGGGTGATTGATTGTTTTTTTTACTTTTAGAGGTAAGTATTAGTAAAAGTTCATAGCTACTTGAAAACTGAAACTTTCAAAAACTATAGAGCGGAAATTGATTTGTTCTCATTTTGGAATAACATTTTCCTTTTATTTATTTTAAGAGTCAATTACTTTTTCCCACCCAAGGTTTGCCTTCATAACCCTTTCCTGCCCAAAAAGTTTCAAAATACCACTTTCCCACCCAAAATTTATATTTCGTTTAGTATCTAGAATACATTTTTTGATTTAGCAGCCAATGGAGATAAAATTTTGCCCAAGCTATTAGTGCTTTTGAAAAGGGGATGTCGATGAGTCTTTTGGTGGTGGTAGGTTGAATTTTTGTGGTTGGGATTAATCAGAATTTGATTTGGGAAAAGGGCGGTTGCACATTACACAAATCGCTCAATTGCTAGCAATTAACAAGGTTGACAGGGGTAAGGTTTGAGGGGTTTTGATGCGTAGTGATCAGTGAAGAAAATGGTGGTGTCGTGGGGTCGCAAGATGCTGAAATCGACTAGCGATTAGTCAGAATGTAAACTTTTGTGGGAAAATGGTATTTTGAAACTTTTTGGGTGGGAAAGGTTATTAAGGCAAACCTTGGGTTGGAAAAGTAGTTTACTCTTTATTTTAATTCTAAAAGAGCACTAACAACAATCAACAAAAAGTAAAAACCTGGGCTATATTTGGTAGAGTATTTAGAATAGTAATTTTGAAAAAGTTAAGTTAGCTTGTTATTATGAGAATAGGATTTGATTTGAAAATGTGTTTTGTAAATTTTTGGAAAACATTTTCTGAACTATTTTAATGCCCTACATTTATTAATTTAGCTAAATGCCCCTACAATAAAAGTTTTAAAATTAACAAAAATACCCCCAATCACCTATTAAATGCCGATAGCCAATCACCACCGTCGGAATGGCGCACGACCAACTGGATCTAGCCAGTAGTGCGTCGATCTAGCCAGATCTACGGCCAAAGATCTGGCAATTGACGAAGACAATATCTTGATCATCGTTGACGATTAGATTTTGCCAGATCTTTAGCCATAGATCTAGCATTTTTTGGCCAAATCCATGGATCGTTGCACGACCGGCCACATCCAGTTGGTCGTGCGCCATTCCAATAGATTCCGGCCACTTACCAGTAATGGTGGTCAGCTGCCGGCATTATGTGGGTGAGTGAAGGTGTTTTTATCAATTTATAAACTTTTATTGTTAGGGGGTGTTTAGTTAACTTAACAAACTTAGGGGGTTAAAAAATAAATATTTTGAATTGAATAAAATAAGCTTGGATTTTGAGAAGATTGAAACAAATATATGTTTTAAATAGGATTGGATAGGATAATATTCTAAATAGTAAACCAAACATGGCTTTAATTATTTATCGTTATAGTAATAATTAACAAAAGTATACCTATAGTTAAGTATTTGGTTAAAATAAATGGAAGAAGGTTAATTAGGAAATTACTCACTAACTTTATCATATTATAAATTCTAACGATACATTAGAGTCAGTTCATTTATATTTTTGACTTTCTGTTTTTGTTTTTCTTTCATTAAAATTGATGAAGATTGTTTTCGTATATCCTTTTTTATCGATTTGAATTTGACACAAATTCTTCGAGATGACAAAGTAAGTGGTAAATTGAAGACGATTTATTGGGGTGTAAGTGATACATTATATATTTTTCATTTTTTCCTTTATGATTTTAAACAAACATGCCAAACGTATTTTTTTTTTAAATATTTTCCAACTATATTCAATATTCCAGGGGAAAAAAAAAACAGTAACAAAAACATAAAGTTCATCAAAGAATACAATACACCCGTAAAGTTAAGGGATGCTCTTGGTTCTTTATTTTAATACTTTATAGAATAATATTTAAAAAAAAAGTCAAATTGGGTGGTTATTACGATGTAAGATTTAAAAATTAACAAAATACCCCCTAAGTTTGTTTATTTACTAAACACCCCTATAATAAAATATTAAAAATTAACAAAAACACCCCCACCCACCCATTAAATACCGTCAGCTAGCCACCACCACCGCAGGGTGGCTGGAGTCATCATATTGGTACACGACCGACCAAATCCACGGTGGATCTGGCCAGAAAAGGCTAGATCTGGCCATTGACAGCTAGATCTGGCCGCATTTGGTCGTCAACGATGGCCAATCAACAATGACCATGTCTTGGTTGTCGTTGACGACTGGCTATGGCCAAAGATTAGGCTGTCAACGGCCAAATATTTTGCTTCGATCATATCCACCATGGATCTGACTAGAAAAGGCTAGATCGGCACACTACTGGCCAGATCCAGTTGGTAGTGCGCCATTATACCAGATTTCGGCCAGCTTTCAGCAGTGGTGGCCAAAATCTGGCAAATGTGGGTTGCTGGGGTGTTTTTGTCAATTTCTAAAAAAAAATTTTGGGGGGTGTTAGTTAAATTAACAAATCTAGGGGGTTTAAAAATTTAATACAAATCTAAGAGGTTTGAAAGAATTAAATAATGTAGAATAATATTTTGAGAATAAGGAAATAATTGTAGTATTTTGGATAGAATAGGGAATAGAGTAGTGAAAAATTATGTACCAAAGAGGCCCTAAAATTGGGTGGTTATTATGATGTAAGATTTAGAAATTAACAAAAATACCCCTAGGTTTGTTTATTTACTAAACACCCCTATAATAAAATATTAAAAATTAACAAAAACACCCCCATGCACCCATTAAATACCGACAGTCGGCCACCACTGTTGGAGGGTGGCTGGAGTCGCCATATCGGCGTACGACCGACTGGATTTGGTCGGTCGTGCACCAATATGACATTTTTTGGCCAGATCCACAGTGGATTTGACTAGAAAAGGTTAGATCTACGGCTAGATCTGGCCGCATTTGGTCGTCAACAACGACTAAAGATATGACCGTCGTTGATGGTCAACGACTGGCTATGACCAAAGATTTGACCGTCAATGGCTAAATCGACGCACTACCAGCCAGATCCAGCCGGTAGTATGCCATTATATCAGATTCTGGCCAGCTTCCGACTGTAGTAGTCGGAATCTAGCAAATGTGGGTTGGTGGGGGTGTTTTTGTCAATTTCTAAATTTCTTTTTTTTTGGTGTTTAATTAAATTAACAAACCTAGGGGGTTTAAAAGGAATTGAATAAAATAGAATAATATTTTGAGAGTAAGGAAATAAATGTGTATTTTGGGTAGGATAGGGAATAAGTAGGGAAAAATTGTGTACCAAAGGGGCCCAAGGAAATTTATTAGGGAAATTACGTTATTTGATCAAACCTGAGGGGTCGCAGTTTGAAAAACCTCTTGGCGCCCATAAATTAAAATTCCCTCATTTTCACGTTCTTCTTCCACACTCTTCTTCTTCTCTCTGGTCATGGCCTCTTCATCTTCAACTTCAACCGATTCTTCTCTCCTTTCCAAACTCGAATCCTGTAATTCAACAACCCCTATCTTCTCTCTCTTCTCCTCCTATCTCCGCCCCTTATCAGATCTCAAAAATCCGCACGACAAAACCCTAATTCGATCCCTCGCCAAAAAATTCCTCTCCTTCCTCAACAAATCCCTCTCTATTCTCCCCAAACGCATCTCCAATGCCAATGCACATTCCAAAGACGAAAAACTCGTGTCTGAGCTCTTCGATGTGTATAGGCTTTGCTTAAATTGCTTGGACTTGGTGTCGTCGCAGTTGGCGGGCAAGCCTTACTCCATTCAGCTGCAGAGGATGAGGTTAGTGCGCTGCTTGGAGGCCTGGGAGAAGTATGAGGACACAGAGAGCGAGGGGGTTCGGGTTTTGGAGGGGCTTAGGAGTGTGGATTTTGATGGAAAATCTTGTGATGCGGAGTTTGCGTTGGTGTTTGTGGAGGTTGTGGTGGTGATGGTTAAGTGTGCGGCGATGAGGCAGAGGAAGGATGGTGAAGTTTACAGGAGAGTGCTTGGGTTGGTTGAAGAGGCAAGGCACTGGTTCAGGTTATTGTTTTTTGAAAGATAATGTTTTATTTTGTGTGTAGGTATTGTGTGATTTGTAATGTTGGAACTGGAAGAAACTAAACTTGAAATTGCGTTTGTGTGTTTAAGAAAAGAAGAGCCGGTGAAGGGGTTCTAGCTAGTATAGATGGGGATTTTGTATATGTATTGAACCTGCATTAATCATTGTTGTTTGGGCTCACAATTTTTAATGTAGCCTTTCATGTTTTTGAGAGTGAATTGAAAATTGCTTCTGTTAAGGTCCCGAAAGAATTGATTTCGGTTTCAAAGTGATAATTGTGTATGTCTATTAAAGATTTACAAGTTATTTATTCTAGTTGCTACTTGCCAAATTATATAAAAGTTGATGTTTACAAATGTAAGAAGGAATAATTTGGTTGTTAAGACTTCAGACTGAGATGATTAGTTGACTGATTGATTTAATGAAATTTGAATTCTTCAGGGTAATAGATGCAAATGCATATGAGAAGTTGCATAGGGTACTCGTGTCTTATCTGGGTAAATGCACTCATTTTTTGGTCGGAGAGCTAATGCATTTTAATGGAAATTTTGTAAGTGAATTTTGTTTGGCAACAATGACTGAGTATGCAAAGGCATCAATGAAAAATCAAATTTACAAGGTAATTAGTTTACTTCCCAGCTACAGTATTATATATATATTTAGAAAATGTTGTAATTGATCTACCATGTGCAGTTCTCTCGCTGGATATGTGCATCTCTGTTTTCACTAAAGGAGAATAAGCACTCGGTTATCATCGAAATAATACTTTGTGTCTTGGATTCTGTTGCCTCTCACTGCAAGGTAAAGTAAAGCAGTCTTATAACGAGAAGATTCTTAACTGTTAAGAAATGTGCTTAAATAATGCATCTGCTGTCATGTAAAGTAACTCTAGCATTACTTCTTTCTATGATTTATCTTCACAATACTTTTGAATTCTATTCAATAATATGGTACAATATAGGTATAATGAACATGATAATTTACCCACTTTTCTTGGTATTGCATGAATTTTTGCTGACATTTCTTAAGTCTTATTTTGGTTATGTGGGACTGAGTCTAGAAAATGTCTCTCATTAGGGTTGTTTGTATGATTGAGGCTATAGGGAATACATTATTTCAAGATGTAGGAGAAAATTTGCCCTTATTTAGATATCTACTTTGCATTTTAGTAAGACATCTAAATCTAATTGCTATATGAATTTGATTGAATAGCGAAAGATGTTTAAGGATATTGATGCTTGGATGATATCCTTACCTTCTTTGAATTATATCATCTTCTTCATTGCTCTCTTGTTGTGTTAGATGTCTCATTCCTGAAAAGTTTTCTTATTCTAACCGTATGGTACTTTACTTTTCATTCTGATTGTATGGTCCTTCAGTTTTTCATTCCTTGGGGTTTCTTCTTCATCAAGTTAACTGTATGACACATGAGAGAGCATGCTTTGGCCCTTTTATGTTATGGGTTTTAAGTTGGGACAATATGCTGGTTTCTATATTTTACTTGATGCAACATTATTAATTCAAATCCCAGAGTGATTGCAACATTAGTACTTAATTTTTGGCAGGTTGAATTAGGTAACAGTGGAATTGAGCTGGTTGAACTCGTATCGTATTGTGCCTACAAATGTCGTGCCACATGTACATTTTTTTGTGGTACTGTTGCAGGACATCTAGATAACATAGCAGGTGACTTACCTCAGGTATCTTGTTCTGCTATTTATGGGTCTTATAGCATGGTATGCCATACCATTGTTTAGTGAAGATATTTTTGTATGTTAATTTAAAGTTAAACTCGATTGGCAGGTTATGACACCTGTTGATTTGATTTTAAGGCTTTATGCTGCTGGGTTGTACTTTACCAACTATGGTACTGGTGGTGATTTGACTTCCTCTAGAGGTGCGAAAAAGGAGTTTGCAATCAGAATTTTGCTTAATGATGGAGACAGACTACACAAATTGGCCACTTTGCTTGGTTCATTGGGAAGTTACTTTTCTGTTTGCTGCAAAGAGAATTGTGTGTCATCTAGAGTTGAATATGAGGGGTCTTTCAGTCAAATATGTTTACCGACAAATTCTAATCATGAGGCATCTACTATAACTTTGATGCAGAAAAATAGAGAGGATTTTATGCTGTCTTACTTAAATGCATTGAAATTCTTGTGCCAGCCACTTGCTGAGCAAATTAATTCAGAGAAAAAAGAGATAGTTTCTGAAATTGAAAGTACTCCGGGTCATGAACAGCTCTGCAGTATTCAGGATGCGTTTTATCAGCTTTCTGATGCTTTTCTTTTTTGGCACAGGCAAGTGAATTCTGATGTCCCATATCAACATTTGTTTGCTTTTATGGCTATAAATGGAGCTATTTGTGCACCAAAAGAGTTCTAGTGTGCATTTAATATTAAAAACTTTGGTTTTCAAATGACAAAATAGGATGGTGATGGTCTGTAAAATGGATCTTAATTTTGCATTCTGGGTTAAATTTACTACTTCTACTAATCAACTGCTGTTGATGCTAGGAATAATTTCCGATATATTTTTTTTTTAATCTGGTACTCTTTTTAAGACCTAGATGAAAGAGTCTCGAAAGGCCAGTTCTATAACATTTTTGCAAGAAAAAAGAATAAAGAAATAATGATGATACATGGTAGCAGTCTTGAGTATGAAATTATTCCAAGTTATGGATAATGCTGAAACTGGTGTAGGTCAATATTTGGAAATCAATACTTGAGATCTTTTGTCACATTCTTGAGTGTGTCTACAAATCTTGAAACTTTTTCTTGTTTCTATGTGCAGCTATACATCTGAAAGAGACAAAGATGGATTTGATGATAACAAGACAGTACTTACTGTGACTGTGGCTGCTTTTATTCTTTCAATCAGAACAAATTGTAAGATGAAGGTGGTGTTCTTACTCTGTGATTTTAAGATGGCTGAAATTTGGTCAGTTGATGCAAACTTCGTTTTTGTAATCATTGCAGGAATGAAGTAGTATATATTCTTCCAAATTATTCATTAGCTTTTCTTTTTCTTTTCCAGAAGAGTTCTCGTCTAATTAAGAACATCATTGCCAGTGAATGGATTGAACCTCAGGGACTAAAATATGTTTATGCCTCTCTTTACAATATTGGTGTATCTCTGTACAAAAATAAGCAAGTGAAAGAGGTAACTTCATGGAGCAATGTGCTTTTGATTAGTATTCTTTATGATGTTAGTTTTTTCCCCTCAAAATCATGATCTATTTTACAAGAATGAAAAACAATATCACTTTATTGTAAGGTTAATTTGCAAAGTTTTTTTTTTTGGTCTCAGTTTGGTGGCTTGTTATGAATGATTGTTTGTTTCAAGTTTGAACTATTTCACTTCGAAGTTATGTTGTTTTGGGCCTTGGGATACAAAGAAATGGTTACCATAGTAGCTTTTTATTTTTTTTTATGGTTTTTTAGTTCCTTCTGTTTATTTTCTTAACATTGTTTGTGCATACATTGAAATTTACTTTGGTTGTTAATCAGTAATATTACTAATTTCAGAATTTTGTTTGGTATCCTTTTCTGAAACTGCTCATGCATTTGCTGTCTGCTGCCAGGATAGAGTACAAAATCAATTTGCTGGTAAATTGATAAGTATAAGATCAACCCTTAGTTGACTAGATTTAAGCTCAACTCTTCACAAAGGCTTCCAAATTTTTGGTACTTCATTTATGGACATGTTTGTTAAGCCATGAAAGAGAATACAGTAATAGCAGTTCATGCCTCCTTGTGGCTTTGTAGAGTATTTTCACTGGTCAAATGTTATTATTTTGATGATCTTATAAATACATTTCTGGTCTTAGAAGTAGTGAATAGTATCAAAGAAGCAAATTTTTCTAGCTTACAGAAACTTCAAATTCCTGTCTACACTTTCCAACCACTATTAGTCCTGGGTTTTGTGTTTACAATAGGTATATATGCGAATTTTAGTTGAATCTGGAACCTCTCACTGAGAAAAGTAAGAAAGAAAGAGATAATTTTTCAATTTTTTTAATACATGTATGAAATAGAACAGGAAGAGGGATAGGAAAGATAGATCAATGTGAACATGGACAATGAGGATGCAGTAGATTTGAGCCCTGAAAAAGAGAATTAATGACTGACTTAGATTTATCATCATCGAGATCCACGTAGAGGATAGGGAAGAAGAGTTCATTCTTGATAAACATGCATGCACATATTTCCTGTCTTGTCTAATCAACTTGAACTGTAATATATTTTGTAGTGTTTTCTTTTGCATTTAAGGTGTTTGGTCTATATGAATCATCTGATTTGTCTTTGTAGGCTTCAAAGGCGTTCAAATTATGTTGTAGAGCTTCATGGACTTGTGTAGTACTTCTATGCAAATTGTTTATACAGAAATCAGAGGTTTCCCTTCATGATCTGTCTGAAGGTGCTATTGTTGATTTTGTTAATGAGGCATGCACAAGAAGTGCTTTCCTTTTGGAGTTTCTCCATCAGTCTGGTAGTCATAAGATGAAAAAAGTAATTGTTGAGAGTCTTGAAAATTGGTCTGTTGCTGGCAATTTGTTTAGAGTGCTGCCAGGTCCTATGCCTTTGGTGAAAAATTGGGTTAAGGTAACCTGTGAGAAACCCTCCAAGTATCTTCACTATATTTTCTGTTTATCTATAGCCTGATTGTTGATTGATTGTCAGATAGTATGTAAACTTCGTGAGAATGTAGATGTAGAGGATGTTGCTCCATCTTTATACAGTTTGCTGTCATCTTCTGGAATAGTGTCAAAGAAGACACTTGGCATCATTTTAGAGCAGGTTTGGTCCCTTTGTAGGATGTTTATATATTTATTTCAGGACTTTTTGTTATAATGCTTCTTGTTAGATACTAATGTATGGTTTTCTTTTGTCCCTTTACCATAACCAATAGTTGTTTACCCTACATTTTTGTTCTCCAACTTTTTAGGAGCTTCATGCATATGAAGAAATGAATCCCTTGGGCCCAGAGTTGTGTCAAAGAAGGCAAATGAAAATTATAAGTATCCTTTTGCAAAACGTGTACAATACAGAAGATAGTGGGTTACAGAAATCAAGAATTTTACTCAAAAAAGCAAGGACATTAAGGGCCATGGGAAGGGAATATTTGAAGGATTGTATTCACTGCTTGTCAGAAGCAATATCGTTTATGGTGATTTACTTAGTTCATTTTCTGTCTTCTCATTTCTACCCAGCTGATACAATTTTAGTTGTGAATTCTTGTCTTTTTGAGTTGAATTTATGATTAACTGGAAATAGTCTTTGAAACAGAATGACATGTATGAAGACATATGTAGACGTGAAACTTTGCTTTGTCATCTGTTAGCTGTGGCATATTGCTTACGTGCTCTATGTACCCAGGAAGCTGAACCAAACTCTAAGGTATTAATGCATAAAAGGCTAGTCCCCAGGATTGAGTAATTAATGCTTAATTGTTTTGTGTGTTCAGTTGGTACCCATGGATAAATTTGGAATTGAAGTATTTGTTTTGACTGAATTAATGCTTGTTTTTTGTTGTAAATAGCAAGTCATCAAAGATATTGATTCTGCCTTAAATCAATGGTTGAGCATATCCATTTGCTCTACAAATGATGAGTGCAATATAGTCACGGAGAATACAATGCTACTATTGTATAATGTAGGTGATCTGTTATCAGTGAAGGTAAGCTTGTGAGCTGGTTGGATGATGTTGGTTGGCAATGAAGCATAGTGTTCTTGATTTTTGACATTACCTTATCTTCTTTTGTATTATCAGGGTTGTATGGAAATTCACAATGTCTTATATAAACTGATGATTAGATTTTTAAAATGGAAGAATGTTCCATTGGAAAAGTGCTTGTCCATTTTTTGGGAAAGTAGAAGGCTTAGTCATGCTCTTTGCATTTCACCTGTAAATGAGGGGTTTCTCATGAACTTAGCAGAGCAATGTGGTGAAATTTCCAAGTCTATTGATTTTTGGGTATGCTGTTTAAAGGAATCTCAACCATTAGTAGTTGGATTCCAACAGAATCTCTCACTTTTATTTGCTGATATTTGTGAAAGTCCTAATCAACCATACATCACAATTGCTGATGTGAAAGAGGCTGCTTCTGAACTCATTTCAAGCGTAAGATTTTCCCAATTAGCACCATTTGTTTATTGATCTCTTCTTTGTGGTATCTTATTGATGTAAAGTGTCAATGTCCTTATAGGTTTCTCTACCCCCTCGTTCTGTTTTCCTTGTTGGATATCTCTACTATGACTTGTGTGAAAGACTCACTGCAAAGGGACAACTGTTTGAGGTAACCAGCGTTAGATTTACTTTCAAATTTGTGTTACCTGAAGATTTTTTCTTTCTGAAAAGATGTTGTGCATGAGATCTAGAAAATAGATGTAATTTTTCTATCTATGGTTGCATGTCTGTTTCTGACTTGTCTAAGTAGTTCCAACACTCGTCAAGAGGAGTGGAAGCGCTAGTCCTTTATTTCATATGTGTGGGACATCTATGTATGACTCCATTATTTTATGAATTTTTATGTAATTCCCTATTATGCTGTTGATCTGAGTTTAACTTTTTGTGATCACATTAGGATAGGGCTTCCCCTTTTTTCCTCTTATAAAGGCTTAGTGGCAAGCAAATTGAAAATTGGATGATTGTAAAGCGTCTAAGTGCAAATTTGACTAATTTCAAATGGATGCTGCCAAAAGACTAATACTTATGTGCTTGTATGTGTTGGTTTGTTGTTTGTTGTTTTCAATTTTCGCTACATGACAATGGTGTTGAGATTGTATCTTTCTTAGAGTGGAATTTTTTTTTTTTAAATAGTTACAAATGTTTGATTCTTTTTGTCACAGTTTTTGTTTTGCATTTTTGTTCAAAACTTCTAGACTGGAACCTTCTAACCTATTTTAAACCTTACATATTATACTACTGTTTTTGGATTCCATATATTTCTGTTATGGCCAAAAAGAATCTACTTTGGAAGTTTGGATTTTGGATTTCATGTTCATTGAATTAATGAAAAAATGCCACTATTGGTTTAGCTTATAGAGTAGTATGATTGACTACCTTTTCTTGTTTATTAGTTTTGGGCCTAAGTTCTTACTTTTCAGCATAGCATGTCTCATCCATATACAATTCGGGTCTTTCATGACTAAGGCTAAAAATAAGAGAGAGGACAGAGAGGGAAAATAAAGGAGAGAGAGCAGTAAGAATGTAGAAAACGAGAGTAGAGAGGAAGAGGAAGGGGGTAGGTGTTGAAGCAAAGAGAGTGTGGTGAAAACTAATAGCTTAAGTCCTCTATAGTGGATGGCGATGTCCTAAAAGCACCCCAAAAAAATAAAAATAAAATAAAAGAATAATAAATTGACTCCTGACGTTTATACCCTACTCAAATAGGAGAAACTAATCTGAACTACAATTAATCTAAAAATTAATAATAGGACTTATCTCTAAATTCCAAGAACAATATATTGCATAAATTTACTAGTAAAATTTTGATTCTGCATCATTTAGAGGGATCGTATATTTTTCCCCTGTAGTTTCTTTTGCCTTACAAATAAAAGTAGAATAACAAGTTGAAACAGGTTTTGGGATCATGATTACAATGACAACAGTTCTTTTTTCCTTTTTGGTTTAAATTTTTTTGAGTTGTTCCAATTATTAAAATTTCCTGAAAGTTATTGATTGGTTTTGAATTCTTAGATATGTTTCCATCTTCAATTTCACAAGTTTCATGTGGAAACTTATTGGCGTCATTATATTTATCACTTTTATTAATTTTTTCCAAATGACTTTTCTAACAAGTTTTACTTATAATTTAGGCTCTTTCATATGCCAAAGAGGCCCACCGACTTCGTACTCAACTCTTTCAAGAGAAATTTTCATATTCTAGTGACCGGCAGGTTGAAAAGCATGAAGCAGGGGACCTCATGCAGAAGCTAACTTATGCTTGTAAAGATTTCCAAGTAACCAGATCTATTACTAGTCAAGTTTGGTCTTTTGATGTTACTTCGTGGAATGTGGATGATTGTTATCTTAGTCCATGGAATGTCCTACAATGTTATCTTGAAAGCACTCTCCAGGTTTGGCTTATCTTCTCTGGTTCATCAATTTTCCAATCAATGTTCTAATTTTTACTCCGCAGAGACCCCTTCTTTATTTTTAATATTGTGAGTTGGTTCTTTGTCCTTCCACAATCAGGTTGGAATTGTCCATGAATTAGTTGGAAATGGCACTGAGGCTGAAAGCTTCTTACTATGGGGAAAAAGCATCTCCTACTTACAAAGTTTGCCACTATTTATAGTTGCCTTTTCATCTGTCCTAGGTATGGAATTTAACCAGTATAAGTCCCTATTTATAAATGCTTGTCTGACTATTTTTTATTCTCTAAGAAAGAAACACATTTTTTAGCTTACTTTTTACTTTTAAATATGATTAGGTAAACTATACCGTAAGAAACAGCATTGGGATCTGGCAGAAAAAGAACTTAAAAGTGCTAAACAGATATTGGTGGAGAGTGGCAAGAATTTCTCCTGCTCAAAGTGCAGATTGATGCTGGAAGTCACTGTTGATCAGCAACTTGGTGATTTATCCCGCAGCCTCTTTGATGGTGCTACTGGGAATACTTCGATGGAAAGATTATCTCATGCTGAAAATATTTACAAATCTGCGTTAGACAAACTAAATCTTTCTGAGTGGAAAAATTCAATCAGTTTTCCTGAAGGAGAAAGCTCTGAGAGTATATTTCTTAAGAAACCTTTTGTACAAAATCATTAATATGTGGCTAGCAATACATTTTCTGATTCTTCCATATATTATCCAGATACAATGGAAATTCTTACAAGGGATGGGTCAGTTGCCAAGATGGAGGGGAAAAAGTCTAGAAAGCTGAAGAATGCACCAACAACCTTGCTAAAAGATCAATCTTTGATACCTGAGTCCAATTCAAGGATTACGCGTTCCAAATACCGATCTTCTCAAAACCAATGTGTAAATGGTTCCATTGAGGTGCAAGCAGGCCTTTCAAAACATACCAAAGGCAACACTTCATCTGATTTTTCAAATCCTCTTAGTCAAAGGGAGTCAGTCTTGGAGACAAAAAGTTGTATTGTTGATACTGGGTGTGAAGCTACTTGCATTTGCAATAAAATGAAGTGTTGGAAATGCCTTCGTGTGGAAGTTATTGAATCTGGGTTACTAGACAATTTTGTACATATAAAGTGGGAATTTATTCGCAGGCGTCTTTCACTGAGAGTACTTACTGGCATAGGTATGGTTGCTACCGCAGATTATAAATTTGCTGTAATTGTTTATGCTACGAACCTTGCACACAAGACATTAGATATAAGCCATGATTCATTCTTAGAGGAAAATACGAAAAAGTGACAGAACTTTATAATATTTAAATTTTAAAGAACTGAAAGTGCCTATATGTCAAATAAAAGCGGTTTTGTAACTCTTTCTTGTTTGAAAACTGTATTTAATTTGCTTTCGATATACACATAGATACATAGTCTCCATGGTCAAGATTGTCTTAGTATAATGTACATATTTCTTCAAGATTAGTTAAACTAAAGAGGTAATCCTTTAGGAGTTTTAGAATGAAATGATTGGGCTAGTGGAGGTGAATGCCTACCAAAATAGGAGTACATAATGGAACTAATTTGAAAATAATTTTTAATATATATGCAACAAATGCCGTCAGATAAAGAGAGGAGTTTAAAATGTTTGGAGTATTTAGGTTTTTGATTTTGATTATTAGTATTATATTTTTTTTGCTTGAAATTGTAAATTAATCGTAACTAGATTTCAATTTGTTTATTGATTTTGTCAAACTAGGAAGTTTCATGTATTTTTTGTCAATCTAGAATATTTTTTTAATCAATTCTTTTATGTAGTTTTAGTGACATATCTTGTATTTGCATGCGTTTGGTTTAGACTTTAAAGGATATTTGAAAATTATGGTTTATAAACAGTATGGTGCAATGTTACTGTGGTTTCTGTCCAAATTTTAGAGATTTTCCAATAAGGTAGTAGGTTGTCGAAGAATGTCATGCTGTATAATGAGAATCATTTCAGCCTTAATTTTTTGTCGCAGTTCAATGAATGGTAATAGGTTTTTTCATATTTATTTGTATACAGTATATACCTGAATAAGCTCTCTTAGCAAGAGGATGCATGTGCAATCATTACATTGGATGTCCCTTTGTATGCACATCATAGTAAAGCTACCCGGATGAGTACTGAGTACTTAAAAGTGACTGTTTATCTGTAATAGCTAATGATGTTACCATGTTTTATTCCTTTTCACAAATGATCGTACCCTTTTTTCTTGCCTGTACGGCTGTACCACAAACAAAATTGAATTTTCCAGGTAATGCTGAGAAATCAATGATGACCAAGTTTACAAAAGTAAAGGTAGTTGTGTTGTGTATGTGATTTGGCATACACACCATGACAATTTATTGTCAGGTATGACAGTGGGAGAGTGAAGGCAAGACTGGAAAACATGCATAAGAGGTGACGATGATGTCTGTACAAACAGATATACGCACACACATCCACTCCCACATGTTCATGTGGACACTTGTGCTAATGTGTGGTTATGAAATGCTTTTGTTTGTTTCCCTTCCCAGATAATGGACCAAATCATAATCATTTCCGTATGTTAAGGTCATTTTCTTTATTCCTTCTTGATATATATCTTTCAACTATTTCAGGAAAATGCTTAGGAAATCGTGATCAAGCTCACGAGGCACATGAAATTATTTCACAAAGCCTATCTGTCCTATTCAGCAGAAACTCATTCTGCCATACCCATTCTTCTCTTCCTCCAACATTTCTTCTTGATTTAATTGGTAAGGAGTACTCAGGAGATGTTTTTGCTGTTGAGCGTGCGGCTGTACTTTACAACATTTGTTGGTTGTCTTTGAAGGATTACCATTCTACGAAAACAAGGTATTTAACTCTAGCTACTAATTTGTCTCTTTTCTATCCATTTTAAGAGGAAGTTGTTTTCTATATTTTAATTTATAATTTAGAAGGGATCATCTTTCTCAATTTCTTCTGATAACACCATCAAAGAAGACCATTTTTGGTGTAATAGTTGGAGAAGTTAGAACCATCACCAATATATTATTTATTAACAAGTAGACATTTCATAATTGATTCAGCCCCAATAGCTCCTTTATAAGCCAATTTTGTGAGCAATTAATTCCTTTGCCTTTTGCTTGGTTTATTTTGTTCAGCAGGAATATTTGCTGTGATTTGTCTCACATTCAGTTGCAGAAAATAGTTCCTTGGTTGATGATAGCCTTTGTGCTCTGCCGTGAGGTTCCCATTCTTTTTCAGAAGGTTAGAACCTTGCTTTCTAATTGCTATATGCCACACCATCAAACATGCTTAAAATTTTCAGAAGAGGCATTCTTCTGATTGTTTCATATGAGAACACCTGTTTTTGTCATGATTTTAGCATTAACGACTTCTTAAGAGTGCTCCATTTTAAGTTGGTATATATAATGATCACTAATACTCTCTTGTTCTCTTCCTTTACATCTTGCCTTCTATGTAATTCTTGCTGATGATAATTTTTTTTTTATCTTTCTCATAAATATAACAGGTTTCTAGATTGCTTGCTGTTGTGTTTATACTTTCTTCTTCAAGCAAGCTTTTTTCTCTTTCATCTTCTTGCAAAGTACTATCTGAAAGTCATTGGGCTTCTTTTTTCCATCAAGCTTCACTTGGTACTCATCTTAATTACCAGTTCCTATCAAACATAAGTTGCAGATATAAAGGCCAACTCCTTCTGGATGTTGAGGTAAGCATGCAATTTACTAGTCCCATTTTCCCAAAATTTTTGTACATCTTTAAAATTTATTTATTTATTTTTGAAGCTACCTATCCTTTTGATATATAAGTTTAAATCTTTTTTAGCATGGACAATTTTCGTAAGTTAAATAATATTATAGTTCAAATTTTAAAATTTAATTGGCACTGAGACCTTCCAAAAGGAAGAATGCATACATACATTAATTGTATTGCATTTTG